GTGAAACCCAATTTCCTCTATGTGGCTGGCATTCCCCTGCCCTGGGGATAGGGGCTGAGTCCTAGCCCCCTCTCCATCAGCATGCCTCATCTGGAGACTGGCACAGGGGAAAGTATGCCCAGTAGTGACTGAGAGGCTGTCACACCTTCTCCCTGTGGTGGCTCAGGCTGAAGGGCAGTCCCGAGGATGTCTCCTTCTCCCACTGTTTCCCTTTTATCATGAAAGGGGAAGACCGTTCTCTGCTGACCAAAAGCACATTCTTGGTCTCCTCTTGAGATTTTAAAAAACAAAGAGTGGCCTTTGCCCCATCTATGACTTCTTCAAAATAGGAACCTCTTCCCTTCTCCCTGCCACCGGCATCTGGGCCTTGACTGCCCCCTTATTTCCTGTTGGATTTTTAACCATCCAAAAGGGTTTGTGGGGCTTGGCTTCCTTCCTCTTTCCATGAAAGCTCCTCATTCCTGTCTTCATTATAAAGGTCTAATCATGCAAGGCATTGGTTTCCCTGTTGGAGGAGAAACCATCCTCATTGTTTTGCTCTCTTTCCTTCCAAGTGCCAGCCGCCCTTCCCTTAGCACCTGCTTCCCAGGGAGAAGATGTGGCTGATGGGAAAGAAGGGGCCAGAGTGTGTTCATTAGTAGTACCAGCCTCTTTCTGAGCCCAGCAGGCTCCAAGCTTGCATGAGCTCTCCCTCCCAGGGAAGCGTGGAGGGAGAGAGCCTACGGATCACAGCTGCTTCCTTCTCCCAAAGAAAAAGCCTGCAAAGAACCAGCCACAGCAGCATTCCCGGGTGACTCGAAAGGCAGTGAGAGAAGCTTGCCTGCAGGCTGGCGGGCACCCTCTCCAGCTCTCTCCTCCCCCGATGGTTTCTTCTCTCCCCTAACTCTGAGGGAGAGCATGCCTTACTGGACCCCAAGAAAGACTTGTCTTTGTCTTCAGGTAGGATGCGTGACCTTTCCCAGCTGCTGGGGAGCAGCTTCTCCAATAGTCAAGGATTTTTAAAAATATTTTTTATTGATTTTTTTTTTTTTTTTTTACAGAGAGGAAGGGAGAGGAGAGGGATAGAGAGCTAGAAACATTCATGAGAGAGAAACATCGACCAGCTGCCTCCTGCACACCCCCTACTGGGGATGTCCCCTCAACCAACATACATGCCCTTACCAGAATCGAACCTGGGATATTCAAGGATTTTGATAATTATTCAAAGAGACTAGAATAAAAACTCCACAGTGGGATATGAAGAAAAGAGAAACGGTAAATGGAGTATGGGGCACTCCCACCTAGTTTTTGCTCATTTCTAAGAACTTGAAAGCCAGAGGGAAGGTTACAGATAGGCTGTCACACCTCTAACACATGTCATGTACAAGGCTGCAGCCTCCGGAAGTCCCCTGAGTTTCTTCCTACCCTGTTACATAACACACACAGATGCACTCACATCCATGCAGTCCATTGTGAGGGGCACAGGACCGACCACCAGCTAAACTTCCCTGCTATTGGAACTTCTGCCAGTCAGGCGGCTGCTGGTTCTGTGGACCACGCGTTCTAAGTCACTGATCATTACACAACTGCCCCCAATTTGCACCTTTGTTGCCCCCAACACAACAAGAGCAGCCTGGAGTCCCGAACTCAGTAGATTCAGAGGCCCTCCCTTACTGTCTGCGTCCAAGGGCACAGGACAAAGGTTATCAGGAGGCCCATGGCCGGGGTAACGCTCCCTCTGGGGAACATGTGCTTCTGTCCAGAGTTGGATGACCTCTGCAGACCAGGCAGCAGTGTATCCCTGGGGCCAGTCATTAGGACGACTTCCCAAAGCAGCAGGTCGCTAGTTTCCAAACCCGGGCTGGCCATCAAACATGATAGCAAGAGAGTAAATAGGTATTTTGCCTGGGAAGGGTAATTTGGCAATGACTTTTAAATTTGCTAAAGTGGGGGCCTTATAATATAGTGATTCTGTTTCTAGTAATTTAGTCTACAAATGCAGTACACGCATGTGTGAAATGACATGTGAAACAGTTATTCACCGCAATGCCATCTATTAGAAAACATCCGGAGTAAACCAGATGTCCATCGGGAGGTTTTTTTTTCCTGGTATTGGTATGAAAGGGTCACAGATATAGAGTGTTAAGTTAAAATAAGCAAGGTGGTTATATTTTACTATTGTTAGCTTAGGAAAGAAAGAACAATTACCTATTCAAAAGACTGAATTAGAAATCAGACCAAAGTAGCAAAAGGAGGAACCTTTCACCCGTTAGCAGCATTAGCCTGGGGAAAGGCTAGACTGAGAATTCTGAAGGAATGTTCTCTCCCCGCCCGCCCCCCCCCCCCCCCCCCCCCACACACACACAGACAGAAGAGGAGGAATTGGGCTGTCAGGTGCATCAGCATTGCTCTGCTGGTTCCTAAGAGCCTCCACTAACAGAGGCCTGAAATTCCTCTTCTCAGGGTCTCCTATGGTGAACCGCCTAGCCATTCCCCTAACTCAGGCACACTCATGTGGTTAGGGGAGAACTTGTATGTGTGTGTGTGTGTGTGTGTGTTTTAATGTAAAAATTTGTGCATGCTTCTTCAGAATAACAAGGTCACCCCCTAAAGCAATGGCATCCTTTACAGCTGCTTGACTTCCTGGCACCCTCTTTCCCTTCCCCAGCCAATTCTATTGTCCTGGAAAAAAACACAACACAACCCTGCTGAATGACATGTATTTGTTTTAGAGATTACTCTTTAAGAATCTCATGACACCCCTTTGAAATAACTGGCAACGCTCTGGGATGTTGCAAAACCCACTTGGGAGTGACTGCCTTGATGACCAGCAGGACGTCACAGCCAAGACTCAGGCCAAGTGGGGCCTGCTCGACTGGGGCATGACTGGGTAGGGACTGGGGCTGGGTCTCTCCACCTCCACTCACTGGGCACTGCCATGGATCCCAAGTTCTGCTTGGACTGCTGCATGGGCATGGAAGGCATTTGCTTGGGAGCCACTGACAAACCCTGCTCATGGGTGAGCTGCTGGGTCCCTGGGAGATGAATCTGGTTCTTTTTCCTCAAGGATAATTTTAGGTCCTCACTTCCCCTCCAGTCTTTCAAACTCCCAACCCCTGGCTCAGCCTCCCAGAGGGATTGCTTACACCAGTGACTATACAGTGGTTCTTTTGAAATATAGAGCAGTTCAAAAGAGACATGCTGGGGCATGGCCCTGGAGGCATTTTCCATGATACTTTCCCCCTTTTTGTCTCATTGTTTCAGGGGAGGAAGCAAGACAGCTCAAGCATCAGGTTCTGATAGGACTTCTTTAAGGTATCATATCTTCCTGCCCTTGAACTGGAATCCAGGAGCTTATTTTCCAGTCTCGTCTCCCCACACCCAGTTTCAGAGGAACTGGCTTAGTGATTGGAATAGCTTGGCTGGCAGAACCAGCTCTAAGTCTGGGTGAGGGTAGGGGAAGAGATGTAGGCTTTGGGCTTCCTCAGGTGAAGGGAACCTCTGATAAGAGGTATGAAGAGACTTGGAGACGCATTACAATCCCACACAATTGGAGATGCACTGTGTGAATCCCTCAAGTCAATCTCCTAGTTTTTAATTGAAAGTTCATGAATAGCCCTAGCCAGTTAGGCCCAGTGGATAGAGCAACTAAAGATCCCAGGTTTGATTCATGCCAAGGGCACATGCCCAAGTTGAGGGCTCGGTCCCCAGTAGAGGGCATGGAGGAGGCAGCCGATCAATGATTCTCTCTCATCATTGATGTTTCTGTCTCTCCCTCTCTTTTCCTCTCTGAAATAAAAATAAATAAATAAAGAAATAAATAAATAATAAATAAATAAATAAATAAATAAAAAGTTCATGGCTGAAACCAGTTTGGCTCAGTGGATAAAGCCAAAATTGAAAAATATCAAACTGAAAGGTCTCAGGTTCCATTCCAGTCAAGGGCATGTACATTGGTTGCGGGCACATTCCCAGTAGGGGGGTGCAGGAGACAGCTGGTCGATGTTTCTCTCTCATCAATATTTCTAGCTCTCTATCCCTCTCTGTAAAAAAATCAATTATATATATATATATATATATATATATATATATATATATACATATATATATATATATATATATATATATTTTTTTTTTTTTTTTAAAGTTCATGAATAAATCTTCAAGGAAGTAGCATGAACACTTTCCCATCAGGAGAGTGGTGATGGAAGATGTGTGGATAGTTGGGGGTGATGTGGATCAGCCTCAACATCAAACCCATTCATTCATTTTTAACATGTCTTTTCAACAGAATTTTGAAGGGGGAAAGAAATGGGTCCATCTAGGAAATTTCCAGATGGAAAGGGCAGTGTGCAATGGGGGAAGTAGGAGAAATCGAAACTCTCAGCATCCCAGGCTATGGAGGCCAATTGAAATTCAAATGAGTTGGGCAGTGATAAAGACTCCTGAAAAATGCCAAATTTCCCCAGTAGCTGGGGCGAGGGGGGGAGGGGGAAGGCGGGGAGGGGGGGGGGGGCTGGATTAAGGGAGCCAGAACAGAAAACTGGAGAGAAAGGGAGGGTAAGTGAAAAAGAAGGGAAAGGGGGCAGATCTCCTGGGATAAGAGAGAATATTATTGGCTGCCCTCTGTTACTTAACTTACAATAATATCTTAGAGGAGGGCGCCCAGGTAGCCGAGGGGCTACTGTGGGCAGAAAGGGTTACCTTTCCCTCCGCCGCGGTGAGCGGGGAGGCCAGGAAACCAGTGCTGGAACTGGTCGTGGCAGGAGTGGGCACATCCCGGCAGAGAAGTCAGGGCCTCCGCGCTTCGTGTTTCCCAAACTTTTGACATATGTGTACCCCTTCTATAATTTTCATAACGCTGAGTACCCCTCGTACTCGTGAGAACGTAGAATTAGGCGCAGCTAAGCATGGTGCAGTGCATTTCCCCACCAAACTCCGGTGCAACGCGTACCCCCACCAAACTCTTCCTGTACCCCTGGGGGTACATGTACTACACTTTGGGAAACACTGGAAGTCGGGCTTCCACCTCCTTTTCCTCCCTCCCCTCCCAGTCCCCTCCGGACGCTGCCGAGTGTGGAAACTATTGGCCGCTGCCCCTTTAAGAGCCGCCACTCCCCCCATTACCCCCAGCGGTGGCACCCAGTGTGTGTGTGTGTGTGTATGGGGGGGGGTAATGGGGGGGCTGAGCTTTCTCTCCCGGTCCACCAGGGAAGAAGATGGCCCGGGCCAAGGCGATCTCTCCCACGCCCCACTGCCCTCTCCCCTAAGCCGCGTGAGCCGAGAGCCCCCTTCCCTCCTTCCCTCCGGCCCGCCCCGCGCGCCACGCGGTGATGGCTCCGCGGACCGACGGCAACGGCTCCCTGGCCTCGTGGCCGGATGCCCCTACCCTGGCGCCCCACGCCGCCAACGCGAGTGGCGGGGCGCTGTCCGGGGCGCCGTGGGCAGCTGCGCTGGCGGGGGCGCTGCTGGCGCTGGCGGTGCTGGTCACCGTGGGAGGCAACCTGCTGGTCATCGTGGCCATCGCGCGGACGCCGCGGCTGCAGACCATGACCAACGTGTTCGTGACTTCCCTGGCCGCCGCCGACCTGGTGGTGGGGCTGCTGGTGGTGCCGCCGGGGGCCATCCTGGCGCTGACGGACCACTGGCCCCTGGGCGCCACGGGCTGCGAGCTGTGGACCTCGGTGGACGTGCTGTGCGTGACGGCCAGCATCGAGACGCTGTGCGCCCTGGCTGTGGACCGCTACCTGGCCGTGACCAACCCGCTGCGCTACGGCGCGCTCGTCACCAAGCGCCGCGCGCGCGCCGCCGTGGCCCTGGTGTGGGCCGTGTCCGCCGCCGTGTCCTTCGCGCCCATCATGAGCAAGTGGTGGCGCGTGGGGACCGACGCCGAGGCGCAGCGCTGCCACTCCAACCCGCGCTGCTGCGCCTTCGCCGCCAACGTCACCTACACGCTGCTCTCCTCCTCCGTGTCCTTCTACCTGCCGCTGCTCGTCATGCTCTTCGTCTACGCGCGGGTGTTCGTCGTGGCGACGCGCCAGCTGCGCTTGCTGCGCCGGGAGCTGGGACGCTTCCCGCCCGAGGAGTCCCCGTCGGTGGCGGCCTCGCGCCCCCGGTCCCCAGCGCAGGCGGGGCCCTCCGACAGCCGCCGGCCCGCGCGCCTCCTGCCCCTCACGGAGCACCGGGCCCTGCGCACCCTGGGGCTCATCATGGGCACCTTCACGCTCTGCTGGCTGCCCTTCTTCGTGGCCAACGTGGTGCGCGCCCTCGGGGGCCCCTCGCTGGTCCCCGATCAGGCTTTCCTGGCCCTGAACTGGCTGGGCTACGCCAACTCTGCCTTCAACCCGCTCATCTACTGCCGCAGCCCCGACTTTCGCTGCGTCTTCCGCCGCCTGCTGCGCCGCTGCCCGCGGGAGGAGCGCCACCGCCGCGAGGCCGCCGGCTGCCCTGCCTGGACCCCGGTGACCCCAGCCGGCCCCTCCGAGCCCCGGCAGTGCCCCCCGCGCGGCGAGTAGGTAACGAGGCGAAGGGGCTGACACAGCTCGGGGGCAGGAAACATTCGATGTCTTCTCTGGTCAATGTTTGAGTTTGGAGAAGGTGGGGTTGGGGAAGGGACTCTGCATTGAAAAGAAGGGAAGACATGGACTAGGGAACCAAAAGGAAAACCGAAGTCCATTCTCTTCCCGCATCCGATCCACCCGACTGTAGGACTGAAACAAAGCCGGGTTGTTCTTCACCCCAGCGCGCCCCATAAGCTCTGCTGTGCCCCCAGGCCTCTGGCCAGCAAGGTCAGCTCAAGTTTTGGGTTTCTAGCTCCGTTCCCTGGCCGCCCGGATTGCTCGTCCCCGCTCGGGCTGGCTTTGGCTCGCAGAGGCGATTGGAGGCCCTCCCAAGTCCTTTGCCCCAGTTCTGGCTTCTTTGAAGGTTTGATAGCCAACAAGGTGAGAATGCACTTGGAGTCAGAAGGCTCTGAGGGGAGGGCGAGTTCCTCCAGCTGGTAGAAATAGGGCTGGGCTGGAGTCGGGGTAGGTTTGTGGCTGCTTGGGGCCGATGTTTTTGTATAATTAGAGGTTTTCCAGGGTCCCTGGCCACCTGGGTCCCCTGTTTCCCCACCCTGTGCCCCACCCACCCCAAGATTTGCTATCTTCATTTTTTTCCAGGGCTTCCTGGGGAATTTCTTAGGCCTTGAAGGACAAGGAACAAGAGCTCCGTTGATCATTGCTCCAGAACCTTTGGAAAGCTCTGGTCTCTGTTTAGAAGGAGCCCCGTGGAGTTCCCCAACTGGAAAACTCTGCCCTCCTGAACCTGAGGACTGGGCCACAGATGGGGAGGTGGGGACTGCCTGGGAGGAGAATCCTTACCAAGTGTTTTTTATTTTATTTTATTTTATTTTATTTTATTTTATTTTTTTATTTTTTTTTTTTTTACCGTCTTCTCTCTTTCTTTCTGAGAGAGGATTTTTAAATCCCATCCCTGAATTCAGCAATACCTCAGCAGCTAGAGAGTTGGGCTGCCGGTGCTCAGCTGCCCTTGGAGCCGGCAGGCTAGCTTTGGCTGGCACCTTGCTCACTTGTGTGCATGTGCTTAGGGCAGAGAGAGAGAGTACCCCTCGTTCTATTCCTTCTGCTCCCCCTTATCCCCCCCCCTCTGACCTGATGAACCACTCAGTGCCCTCTAGGCGTGGCAGCCCAGGCTGGGAGCGGGAAGCTAAAAAAGGTCAAGGTTTGGGGTTTTTGTCCCTGGCTTCCTCACTTTAGATGCAGAATAGCTCTGATCTACCTCACCACAGTGTCAGAGGGACTCTCCAGGGTTTGGGGGCGGGGACTCCAGGGTTCATAGAAGGTGAACCATTAGAATGGATCCCTTCCTTACATTTTAAAATCAACTCAATAAATATTATTGAATGCAGTTCACCCATTGCCTTCTCTTCTCTCCATTTGTTTTCTTTCCATAATCCACTTGCTTCTGAGAGCTGGCTTTTGACAGTGGCAATAAATTAGGACTAATCCTTATTCCTTTCTTCCTAACCCTCATGAAATAAAAATGAAACATCTGCTTGGATAAAGGGGAGCAAGCTTGAGCTGCTGACACTCCTGCCTCCCTCCCCACCCTTCCAAAAACTCCTGGAATCCAGCTCAAACGAGTAGCAATGCCATGTTACCCATAGGACTGGAGCAATGTGTCCATAGGATTGAGTTTGCTGGGCTCAGGACCAGGGCACATGGAGCCTATGCCAGCTCCCCATGCTATAAGCCAGTGGTGGCTTCCTAAGATCCCTTTGCCAGCAGGCGCCAGTTTTATCCTGCCCTGTACGTGTTCATTCTGGAGGCACGGAGCATTGTTTGTATCGGGCATATGTCCTGGGCTATAAATACATTCTGACATTTCCCATTCTTTCCCTAACCTCTATCTTTCCACTCCCTTTCCTGGGCTGCAGAAGTCTATAGTATCCTCTGGAAGTAAAACTGGAGTTACGAGTTTGAGCCAGTTGATCGTTGTTTTCCTTATTCCAATTTCCATGAATCTTATCAGGCAGCTTTCTACGGAAAGAACATTTTTATGGAAATCCCTGGATCTTTTTGTGAGTTCTTATTTAAACCCCACGAACAGAGGCCATTGTCTGGACTGATATACAGGATAACCTGTAAATCATAAAAAAAAAAAAAAAGTTTAACGCACTGAATGGCAGCAGCGTACAATGCATTGGCTAGGCTCAGGAGCTCCGGAGTTATAAAACTTTGATCTGCCCCGAGGATAAACTCAGTGGATTTCCACATATGGGTGTTCCCTGTGAATCGGACCTGGCCTGGGCTGTTCTCTTTTCTCCAGGAGTCCAGGTTTTTATTTCTTAGGATGTTTGCATACCACAGATGACTTTCCCCTTTTCAACCCAGGCCAGTGTGAGATCTCTGCTGTCTGAGGTGCGGAAGGTTTCTGGGCAAGGACTCAACTTTCGAACCCTTAGCGGGAGAAGGAAGTCTTGCTTTAGCCTGGGGCTAAGTAAGTGGGCAGCCTCTCCCATCTCTGAATATTTTCTCAGTATCACTGAGGAAAGTTGCCTAGTCAGTCCTAGGCAGGGAAAAAGGGTGATTTGGGGGGAAAGGGGGAGGGAATGGAGAAGGATTCTTGTACTCCAGTTTGTAGAATTGTTCTTGAACATTATCCAGGAACTCATACTCCTTGAGTCTTGCTTGACAGATACCCGTGTGCCAGCTGTCAAGACTCCTTTGGAGTGTTTAGACTTGCACTGGAGCTGTGGACTCCATCTGCAAATTGTCACCAGTGTATCTGACAGATGGAGAGGCAGCCTCTCCAGTTGTTTCTCCAGCAACTTGTGGCCAGGTGTCAGGCTGAGAGAGATTTACATCCTTGGATGGGGAGCAGGCTGCTTTTGTTAGCATGAGGCCTGAGCACTTGAACTGTGGAAGACAAACAACCATCCTCGGAACCCACAGATGTGAAGACATACAGACCAATGAGAATGAAAGAGCCCGTGGTGGACTCGCTGTTCTTGCCAGAGTCTGTTAGCAAGAGCTAGGCACGGGGCAGACATGGCAGGGAGAAGGGGGCTGAGTTGGAAGAGAGGGAGTGAGGAGTGACTGGATTTTCTAGAGGAACTGCTAAGGAGCAGGCAGAATTAGGGCACGGGGGAAGCTGATAGACTTTTCTCAGGCTCTCTCCAGGGTAGATGCTTCTGGAGAACGAAGGTAAGTTCAGACTGTGGCCCTCATGAGCAGTTTGCGGGCTACAATTCCACCCCAACTTCATTCTCACCCTTTATAGCATAGGAGCAGCTTCTTTCTCTTGTCCTGGGGGCACAGGCGAAGGCCATGGAAATAGTGTTTCTTTATGTTTCCCTTCTGAAAACCAAAGATCCAGGCTTCCTCTCAGGCCTCTTGGTGGATTATGTCTGTGTTTGGGTCCAGAGGCAAGTGGATGCCTCCAATGGAGAGTATTGCTAATGCTCTCCCCTATTCCAGGCAAAAAACCCTGGCTATAGTCAGCTTTAGGCTAATTAGTGAGTGGTTGAAGCATAATGCAGAACTCAGTTTGGTTAGCAGAAACTCCATAAGGCATCTGATTTTTCTTTAGCTCATCCTGTTATGAGATTAAGGAAAATAAAAATGCTTCCCTCATCTGTAAAATAAATGGAGAATAATCCTTTCTCTCCTCTCTTGTCTTCAGAAGGGGAATGAGCGTTTCTGGGATGGTTGGCTCTCCTAAAGTTCGGTAAAGTCCTAGGCATAGCTTACTTAGCACCTTCATTATCTGCTCCACCCAAGGCATAAGCAGCGCTAGGTGCCCCCTGATGGCGATGTGAGGTACAACAGGTGTGGACTTGGAAATATTGGTCTGTTGAAAACATAAGGCCCTGCCTATCCCAACTGGAAGGGACCACAGAAATGATTGAGACCAATCTTTTGATAAAATGGATGAAGAAACTGACTTCTAGAGAGTGAATCATGAGAAACCAAGGTTTAAATGCAACACTGTGGTTGGTAGTATAGAGAGCACAGAATTTAGAGCTGGAAAACAAGTAAGAAAGGGAGGAGGAAACAAGAATTATTTAAAAAAAAACACGTGGGGGGGAAAAAGGGAGGAGGAAAAACATAATTTATTGAGCACAAATAAATATGACTGTTTTATTTGGTGTCACTACAAATGTTATATTAGTGACACAAATAAAAAATAGTTTCAAAAAAAAAGCAACTCACTGAGCTTCATAAAAATCAAATAGCTTGCTTGTATTGATTCTAATGCAGACTACCAGACTCCAAAGTATATTTTCTTTTCTCCACACACAATGCTATAATCAGTTATGTGACGCTGAGCAAGTTACTTAGCATCTGACATGTTGTTTGCCAGTGAATCAAGTGGAGATTTTATTAATGCTCTACTCAGCTCATGCAGACTGGTTTTGAAGAACAAATGACTGTATGCAAAAATGGTTTGGAAACCAAAAGGGCTTTTCAGTGTAAGTGGTGTTATTAGTTCAGGTGTCCTGGTTTTGATCCTTGTATGGTCCTGCTTCTATCGACAGCCGGATCTTGGACACACTTGTCCTTGGTCACTGTGGGCACATCTTACTTTATCTTCCTTCTGCCTGTCTCAGACCAATTCCACTGGCTCCATATCCATGTCACTGAACATCTCCCCCTCTGGCCCTCTTTTCACGTTCATACCCCGGTCTGGCTTGTGCCTGACATTTTGGTCCTGGTTTGGTTCACCCTATCATTTCCCTTGAAGCACTCATAATGAGCTAAATTTTAAAGGATGGACAGAAGGTTTAGAGACAGAGGGAACTTCCAGATGTCAGTGCTTTATGGGACATAGTCAGGGTTCATGAGAAGGGGGCCCTAACAAACCAGAAAAAGGAAGATAGTGTATTTATTTGCTAGGACTGCCATAAACAATTACCACAAACAGAAATGTATTCTCTCGAAGTTCTAGAAGCTAGAAGTCCAAAGTCAATGTGTTGGTTGGTTCATGCTTTCTGAAGGCTCTAGGGGAGGAATCTCTCTTTGGCTCTTGGGGCCATCCTTGGTTGCTTGACTTGTAGCTGCATCATTCCAACTTTTGCCCCCATCTTCACATGGCCTTCTTCCCCTATATGTTTGTGTCCAAATTTCCTCTTCTGCAAAGAACATCAGTTATTAGAACAGGGCCCAACTTAACTCAGTAAGACTTAATTTTAATATGATTGCATCTATAAAAACCTTATCTATAATAATGAAAGGCTAATATGCTAATTAGACAGGATAGCCAAATGACCTTCTATAAGTCATTCAAGATGTCCTTCCAGATGAAGCTTAGGTGGGGGTGAGGCAGATGCTGTTAGGGACGATCAGGCATGTAGGCAAGTGGTTAGGGATGATCAGACAGGCAGGTGAGTGGTTAGGGGTAATCAGGCAGGCAGGCAGAGGGGTTAGGGACAATCAGGCAGGCAGGCGAATAATTAGGGGTTATGAGGCAGGCAGGAAGAGTAGTTAGGGGTGATCAGGCAGGCAGGCAGGCAGGCAAGCAGTTAGGAGCCAGTGGTTCTAGATTGTGAGAGGAATGTCTGTCAGTTTAGGCCCGATCTCTGAAGGGATTAGGCCTAAACTGGAAGTCCAACATTTCCTGAGGGGTCCCAGATTATGAGAAGGTACAGTCCGGGCTGAGGGTCCCCTCCCCCCCCCACAAATTTCATGCACCAGATCTTTAGTTTCCAAATAAGGTCACATTCATCAGTACTGGGGGTTAGGACTTCAACATATCTTATGGGAGACACAATTCAACCCACAACAGGGGGTGGGAGGAAGAAGGAACACTGTAATGCGTTGCCTTTTCATGCTCATCTTATGCCTGATGTTTTCCACATTTCCAAAGCTCTGTTTCATCCTATACTCAGTCAGAAGGGTGATGGGAGTGCTCCCATTCCTGAATTTCCATTTCTTGGCCTTTTCCCTCATATCCCTGGGCCCCAGCCTGGAGAGACCACTGATGAATCAGACCAGTGTTTGTTGTCTCCTGTGGGCAGAAGTTGCTACCTATTCTCCATTCTCCTCTTCATTCTTTAGTAATAGGTCACCTAAGTTTTAGTTGGGCACATGGCCTCTCCATAGATACACTGCAGCCTTGCTTGCAGCTGGGTGTGACTATGTGGCTAAGTTGAAGTGTGCAGTTCTCCACATCCCTTCCTGATAACTGGAATGCAGGTGTGCTGGTAAGAATGGAAGTAGTCACCTAGGGTCATAAGATGGCAAC